TCTCATTTCCATTGGTGTGCAAAAAGACTGGGCTCTGAAGTCCCTAATACCTCAGGTAGCACAGGTGTTCTCTGCTTGGAGCAGCTGGCATCTGCTAATTAAAAGCTCAAAGTAACATTTTTTCCATTTTTTTGAAGAAATTTAAACAAGTTCCTCTGCAAGTTCATCCTACAGTTAATACTGTTTGACATACTGCATCACTTTTTTCCTTTCCCAACTAACAGCTAGAACTGCCAAGATAGTGAGATGATTAGGTTATAAGAAACATTAATTTTAAAAAAAGAGGTTCAAAAAGTGATAAGGAAATAATATACATTGACCTTAATTTCATAAAATGTATTGGTGGACATCTACTTTCTTTAAAAGTAAAATTAGTAGAAAATTAACACAAAAATAAAATTAATAAAATTTAAATAATGTATTTAGCACGGTTCATTAACAATTCTCACAATTTGCTGGATATTATGCAAAGTCACATATCATGGCTTTACCTATCAAAATGGCTAGATTCACATAACATATTAAGCCAATATCAAATATACTATATTATGGCTTAGTATAATGTATAAATCTAGCCATACACTTACTGGACAAAACAACTATATTCAGATGTTCACATGAATGTAGTAAATATTATTTTCTCCCTAAACAAATAAAGGAAATAAGTCTCAATGGGTTGAGGGGATGGGAAAAGCCATTTTGGGCTCAAGCCATTTTCTAAAGCGCCTGTAGGCCAGACAAGGAATAATGGATGGAAACTAAACAAGGAGAGATTTAACCTGGAAATAAGGAGAAAGTTTTTGACAGTGAGAACAATCAACCAATGGAACAGCTTGCCCTTGGAAGTTGTGGGAGCACCATCACTTGAGACTTTCAAGAAGAGATTGGACTGTCATTTGTCAGAAATGGTGTAGGGTCTCCCACTTGGGCAGTGAGTTGACTAGATGGCCTACAAGGTCCCTTCCAACTCTGATTATCTGTTATCTGTTAAGATTATCATGTTGGATGGAGTTAATGTGGAGAGGGAGATAGAGAGGACAAAGGAGAGTAGGAGGAAAGGGAGGAGAGGAAAGAGATGTTCAAAGCATAAAAAATACTAAAACAATACACAAAGTAGAAAGACAGATAACTAAGAAGGATAGAAAGCTGCAGCATAAACTATGTCATAATGACTAGCTTTAGCTGTATGTTATTTCCCTTTCTTAGTCCATGCCTTTAATTTCTTTCCACAGTCTAGATCAGTGGTCGCCAACCAGTGGGCCGGGGACCACTGGTGGTCCACGAGAAAATTTTGGTGGTCCGCAGAGAAATGTCACCTCTAAAGCACCCCCAAAGTAATTAATCCAGGCTGCGTGGGAATACAAGGCTCCGCCGCCCACATGGCCCACAGGAACACAAGACGCTGCCCACAAGGAACACAAGACTTCACCCACAAGAAACACAAGATACCACCCACATGGGCCACGGGAACACTTGTCTTGCGAACAACATGAGGTAGTGAGGGGAGGGGAAAAGGGCGGAGGGGAGGAACTTGCCCCACGCACCTTGCCTGGCCACTGGGCTACTTCTTTCCGCTTCTTTCTTCTTTTGCTTTTGGCTGCATGCAAGGAAAGCAGCAAAAGAAATGAGTCTTTCTCTACCAGAAATGAGTCTTTGGGACCCTGCAAGGCATCCTGCTCCAAGAGGCTGTGCTGGCATGGGAAGTCTCACAAAGACTCATTTCTGGCAGAGTTTGAGGGAGAGAAAGAAAGACTTCTGCTGCTTTCCTTGCAGGAAGCCAAAAGTCTCTCTCTCTCTCCCCTTGAGAATGAGCTGGAGATGGTTTCCTGCGATCCCATGTAAAGAATGATCAATCGGTAGGAAAATTGAGAGGGGGGGAATTTTCCCGCAGACTTTTTTGGGGATTTTCTCAGGGTCTCTGGTCCACGGGATTTAAAATTATAAGTTTGGGGGTCCCTGAGGTCCAAAAGGTTGGCGACCCCTGGTCTAGATAGTGCCGTTTTCCCTAAAGAGGTTATATATGTGCTTTTATATGTAACTCTAAAGAAAATTAACCAGGGTTTGTTAACCATCAGGGAACAGTCCTGCAAGATGACAAAGAACCTGAAGATTATTCTTCCAATTTCTGCTTTTCTCTTTCAGGTTGTTTCAGCAGCTTCCTGGTTAGTACTCAGAATACCTTTAAGGACTAAAATCATCTCAGCATGGTCCTTGAACATTTACCATTAGTCTGGCTGCACAAATGGGGAAAGAATAGTCAAGAATGAAATGAGTCTCCTTCCTTTCTCCTTATCGCAGGTATGCCCTGGGAGGCTTCAGTCACAAGTTAATTAATACTTTTTTATCACTACAAAGGATAGAATTGTTTTATTATCAAGACTGCTCATTATATTCTCCATGGAATTATCCCATCTTTAAGAACTATGTATTTGGCAGCAAACAGCCTTACAAGAAAGAAATATGTGCAGATTTAACCATTTAGGTTTAACTGAGACTTGCCCTGGTGTATGTCATGCAACCTCCCTGGTGACCACAAAAGTACATCCTGACTAGAGGATTCTGAATACATCAACTAATGAAGGTTTCTACAAGAGTTGGAATATTGCTGTAGCCTTGAGTTCCAATATTTTATAGCTTTGTGCACACAGGTTGCACTCAGGCCAATCACAGTTTCCTCTCACAGGTATGTTGCAATACCGAAAATGCATCACAACAGACCTGTAAGCATGGGCATAAATAAAAACATTTCCAGTACACTTTAACTGATGTTTCAAGATAAACTGTTCCTCTAAGAAAATAGAGAAAATATTATCACAAAGAAATCAAAGCAGGTTAATAAACAAAACCTTTCTATATTATGAATTGATTTTATTCAAGAGCAGACTATTATAAAGATCCTGATCTTTGTGAACTCTTGTTTTTATCAAGAATGCAAAGGAGAAAAGAGATCAGCATATCTCCTGAACTATTCTTACACAATTTCAGAATCCACCATGTCCCCTATGAACTTGATATTTTATCCAGTCGTGATAAGTCTGTTAAAGCTATAATTTTAAATTTAAATGATGAGAGGTTTCATTTGATTTCCAAGCAGAGATAGAACCTTTTAAAAACATACTCCAGCTGCTGTGACCTTGGTCTATGACTTAAAAGTTCACATGCAATAATTTACTTTATCCCAAGGGACCTGCCAAGATTTCTCTTTTAAAATGGTTTAGTGTATCTTTATACAAATGGTTTTAGTGTATCTTTATACAAAGCAATACCATTTGAACTCTGAATAAGAAAAACTAAGAGGAAATTAATGTAAATTTAAAGGTGTAACCAAATCTACAGGGAAAGCCTTTCAAAGAATGTGGTGAAGCCATGTCAAACTTGAAAATAATTAGCAAATCATGCTGTCACTATTAGAAAGGAAGCAGAGGTAATTGGCCATTGATGACAGTACCCTACATCCAGGATCCTGTCATTGATTAAGAAGGACTTAAGCCCAAGGACAGGAGCAACTATTTTCAGTCAATTAGACTCACAGAGTCATACAACAAGCTCAGACATAACATATGAAACAAGAAATATTGATATGCTTCACAATTCTTCTATGTGAAGCTATTCACATTAACTCTACTTTTAAAAAGCTGCAACTTTCTTTGGGCTGTTAGATGAGAACACAGTAAAACAAGTGAATCAAAAACATTATAATTGCTTATTTACTTATTGAGAAAAATGATCCAAAGTTACATATTTGAGTGTGCAAAAGTATGTGAATCTCCTAAGATTATCAGTTCAGTTGAACATGAAGTTAAAGTTGTTTCAATCAACAGGATGAAAATTGGTACAAGTGTGGAAGATGTTGATGCTTACTAAGCAGAAAAAGATTGCAAAGCTATTTCCAAAGAGTTTAGATTCTGCCAGTCCATTGTCAGGCAGGTGGTATACAAATTAAGGCAATTCAGCTCCATTGCTACTTTGTTCAGGAGAAGTCAACCAACCAAGATCACACCAGGAGTGAAGTATGTAATACTCCAATACCCTCAAAGAATCCTAGCTTGTCCAGAAGGATACCATAGTCAATGAGGTCAAAAGTTGCTGTGAGATCCAAGAGGGCCAGAATGGTTGCATCACTGCCAAGGGTCATTCACAAGCACATCTAGGAATCGGATAGTGACTAGGTATGCTGCTGATTTGTTCTTAAGAGTGCTTTGTCCAAGGTACATGACCTAGAACACAGCTGCTATTACTGGGTAGAAAGACCGCTAGAAACCATATTCTGAACACTTTCGTCACCTCACTTCCATTTTTGAGTTCATTCTACAGGAGATTTCTTTGTATGTTTTTGACAGTTCAAAAGCTAAGGCCTACCCAATGATAGAATAAACTTAAGATTTTGGCTACAATCATCTCTGTCACAGCTATCCCAAAGGTACTTTTCCAAAAATCAACTCATCTTTCGGGGGGGGGGGGTGTCTCCTTGAAAACATTTTGCTTCTTATCCAAGAAGCCTCTTCAGTTCTGTAAGACTGAACTAAAGAAGCTTCTTGGATGAGAAGTGAAATTTTTTCAAGAGAAAAAAAACCAAGAAAATATTTTTGCCTTTTGGAAAAGCACCTTTGGGATTTAAGATTTTGGGGAAAAAAATCTAAATTTAAGAGAAGCAAAAACATAAAAACAAATAGAATATATGTCTGACAGAAGTGTGCAAGGAATGTAAAATCTACATTGTATGAATGTACGAAGCAAACATATTGTTCTCTATAAGTTCTGTTGCTCTATTCTAGACAAACTGTTTTTTTTTTAAACTGTGGGATTCATAATAACCTATCTGCTGCAGGTACTGTTAAGATACCAGAAACCAGAACAGATATTAAAATAGATATTAAACAGAAACCAGAACAGGTATTAAAACAGATATTAAACAGCTATTTAAAATGTATAGTATTTTTTAAAAAAAACATGTAATTAAAAAAAACAAATAATGAGAAAACAAAACATAAAAATCTTACCTCATTCCCCCCAACAGCTTTAGTTAAAATCACTGCTGAAGATACAGGCGGAGGCATACAGCCTACTGTCTGTAAACTAGAGAAGGATAAATGAATATAAATTTTATTTTTCTAATTAATCTCCAAATGTTTGATACAAAAGCGGGCATAGCTGTGTACTACTTGCTAAATGACTAATTTAAATATAAAATGACTTCTGAATCTTCTGCTTACAAATAGCTGATCAAATGTCTATGAATAACTTTATTATTTATTAGCAATTGTACACATTGGAAATCATATAGAAAATATTCCATTGGCAGAGAAAAATGACTGGAGCATTACTGAGGCTCAAGCTACAATTCCTGGACACTTTCACCATTCAAGTTTTATTGTCCTCAACTGTTCAATGGCCTCCAAATCTACTACATTGAGGAATGTATAATAATTCCTTTCTGGACATGATTCTAGACATCACAATAACTTCCTAGATAAACATATGACTTTCTTGTTTCCATTTCCAGAGAAATACTATATATAATAAAAAAGAATTCTACATTATTGTATTTTCATTAATCAATTATGCTACCCGTTTGGCTAGTTCTTGACATTTTTGTTGAGGTTGACACTTCTTACTTTTCCATTTTCTATGACTACTAGTTAGTTGAACACATTTACATATTAAATAAAATTCAAAGTTATGAGTAATAGTGCCTATAAGGGACTTCTCAAGTCACTATATTTTAAATGCAAGGTGCTTAAAAAGAAACCTCTACATAATTGTGTTTTACAATTCAGTATGCTATTTCATGAACACTCAACAGGTATCCTTCTATTCTACCATGTCTTACTGTATTCTTACTCCAATACTCTTTGTAAGTGGTCAGCAAATATAGCACAGGCATGTTAAAAAGAGACATGAATTGTAAGTCCCTACATATAAAATTTGTTGCCAAGCCTTTATGTGGAATAAAAATTCTGAAAGAGTAACCTAACAGCAAGCGTCAAACCATTAAGTGGAACAAAAAAAATGTTCACTATTTTTAAAAAATATGCTAGCATTACTGGAAGTGCATTACTGGAAGAGCAGCAATAAATAGTTCACTGCTTAAAACATACCCTTTTAAAAGCCATTCATTTATAGATGTAATAGATAGAAGCTGAAGAAATAGCCATATAACTGTTGGGAAGAATACAAGTGTGAAGATCTGCACAAAAAGATGCAATTTTACATGCATCAAAGCACTTGTCAGCTCCTGCAAAACAAAAGAAGAAAAAGGATGCGGTTTTAACAGCTGAAGTTAGTATTGCTCAAATTAGTATCATTAAATACTGTACATTAGCTGCACATATTTTCAAAAAAATCTGTTTCTAAATTTACTAAATAACAGGTTGAACTCACAGTGATATACACAAATACATGACATGACATTGTCTACAATAATTAAGTACAAATTGAATATATTTATTTATTTCATTTTTTTTACTTATTCATAGACTTCATTGAAAGGATTTCAGTCAATTCTTGCACAAAAAGGGGAGGGAAATCATGGCTATATGTTTGGAGTGAGTGGCTGTGCTGAAAAGCCTTAAAATTATATCTTTGAGGATTAACAAGAAGCAATCTATAGCTTGTGCTCTTTTACAATACAGTCATCTCGAGACATGAAATCTATCAAACAGATTTTGCTGATATCAATTTTAAAAATAGGTTTAAAAAAGAGACCTAGCAACTGGGGAATTCTGAAGTTGAAGTTAAAAATTAGGAAGACTGACATACAACTAACAGTAATAATGTCGTCATTTTAAAATGTGGCTCTACTACCAGACTCTTAAAATAACCTAGAATTTTGTTATCATTTCAGTAACAAATGAATAAATAAAAGATGAATGTTCAGTTTGTAGTACCTCTGTTTTGAGGGATAGCCCACTATTGAAGAATATAGCAGAGACAGCTACATATGTGATGGTGATTTCTGGTTTCAGTGGTCCTGGAAGAGAAAACACATTTGAAGCAAGAGTAAACAAAAGCAACAAACTTCTGTAAGTCTTCCCTTTAACCTTTATAGACGGATATTAAGATATTCTCTCCAACTGTGCATTCTATAGAGAAGTTTAAATCAGAATTCTCTCCCACTCTCTCCCTCTTCTCCTCTCCCTCCCTCCCCCTCTTTCTCTCTTTCCTCAATCTAGAACTTGTTGCAATTGGCTGCCTTGTCAAAACTAACAATAACCTTGTGATTAAGAGCAATAGATGCATATAACTCAGTAACGGCAGCCATAAGGTCTAGTTCTGTAGATTGTTAATTATGTAATTTTCATTTCATGCCATCTTAAACTATATTTGCAGTAAAAAAAAATAGGATCTCAAGATCTGGATATGCACTTTAAAGCAAGTTTCTACTAATTTTAGCCATTGTAGGTAATCCTGAAAGTCCAGATTCAAAGAGAAAATAATGTCCATTTTACATGAAATGAACCTTTGGCCACGAACACTTCTGATCATGACCAAATCGGGTTCCAACTAAAAAATCCACAATTTTCTTTTTGCAGCCGATTTCCCCTTCCACGCCATTTTTTGTTGTTGTCGTAAGCACCAAATTTCCAAAATTAGGTTCAGGTCATGACAAAATCAGGCTAGGGCCAAAGCTATGGAATGAATTATGGTCGCGACCAGACTGTATAATAAAGAGAATGATGTTTCTACAAAGCAGGTACAGTAATAGCAGATGGTAGTAAAAGACCCAAGTTCCTTTGTATTCTGCTGTTTAAGAAGAAAAGTTAGGTAATTGTCACACCATTATTCACTAGAGACTATATTTAGAAAGGAACAAAATGTGTGGAAAAGACATGACTGCCTTCTGATTGGTTTTAAATTTCACTTCACATAGGAATCTGCAAAATGCCATCTTTGATGATGCAAAAACAGAGTAATAGGTACTCATCATATTTATGTATCAACATTGCTGGCACCACTTTTAAGTTCTGATAATCGGGGAAGAAAAACACCAATGTTTTCTTGGCAGCCAAAAAGACCCTTAATATTTCTCAAAGTAATGCAGGCTGAACTATTCCCTCAGGCAGTTCTCAGTACAAGACCAGAAAACACACTATTAAAATGAAACATGAGGAGCACAGTTTTGGCACCTTGATACTACAATAATGTGAATAGTTTTTTTAACTTTTTTCCCCCTTAGGTTCAGGTTTGTTGTATATGATCACTGCTTGCATTTTACGAGAGGCCAAATAGAGGACAATTATTACAAAATATTATAAAAGTCAGTACTACTAAGTCAAACACCTGTAGGACTAAAGGCCCACTATCATAGTTGTTCAGGAATCTCTAATTACAAAGACATCAAAGGGCCATATTTTGAAAGATATTTTTGGAAAGGAAGAAAGGGGGTAATCAAAAGCCTATTTAAGAGGTATTATTAAGGTAGCCTACTTGCTGAAGCAAGGATACAGGCTGCATTTGAAAATGTTTGTTACTAAATAAAACAGGACGGCATGAACTTTTCTAAAGAATATTTATTTAAAAATACCAAGTTTTAAAATAAATCAACATATTAGTTAGTATATACTGACTTCTCACAAAATCCCCACTTGTGGGAACATTAAAAGAAGGTGAATTTGCCTATTATGGAAAATAGAAAATTCTACATTCACTTGATTTTGTCTCGCAAGAAATGAATGGAATCCATAGAATCTATGGGAAATAATCACTTAAAACAATCTTGGGAGATTTATTTTGAGCCTATATAACTTTTATGCATAATAATTCAAGTTCCTCAACCATACCAACATAAGAATCACTAATTAATCACTAAATCACTTAAGAAAAAAACATTAATTTATCATGAGGTTTTAGAAAAAATGGTATACAATACAGAAGAAACATGCTAAAGAAGCTGATAGATGGCAATTCATATCTTACAATTGTAGAGTTTGGAAAACATACACTTTTAAGACTATTTCTCACCGTCAGAATGATCTCGCTACCAATCAAAAGTTAACAAATAATTGTAAAGACTGTAGATAGTAAATACTACAGTCTATTCAGTGAGCCATTTCCCCTTCTGTCACAAAACAGGAAATGCACTAAGTACATATCACAGGCACAAACATAGGTCTCACAATCTGATTTCAGTACTGCATACTATAGTATATAGTGTCCAACATTGTATATAACTTAAGGGCTGTGTTACCTAGAATGAGGTTACCTGTCCTGTTAGATCAGAAAAAGTTCCACTGCATGTGAAGTGAGGTATTATGGACAAGAAGTCAAGCTTTATCAACTGTAGCCTCATAGAACACTTTGTTTCTAACCCTTTTCTGTTGTTGCCATAATTTTCCCTGGAGATAGTTTGATTCTGGATCTTAGAAGCCTAAGGCAATTTTTTTTCGGAAGTGATTTGCCAAGGCCTCCCTCCTAGAGCTGAGAGAAAATAATTGGCCTAAAGTCATCCAGCTGGCTTAGTGCCTAAGGAGAGACTAGAACTCTTGGTCTCCTGGTTTCCTGTTGGATGCCTTAACTATACCAAACTGGCTCTTTACTAAAAAAAAAAAAACATTAATAAAGTTACTCTTCCCCTTTCTTGTGGCTATTGTATTATTTTGATTTTTTATACACTGCTGCTTGAGATTCTTTTGGCTTATCCAAAGTGAAAAGATAGAGGTGGTATATAAACTGTGATAATAAAAATAGAATAGCGCAGGTGGGTGTCCTGTATACATACACACAATATAATGTTAATAAACACAAAATTTAACAAAGTGAAGCCATCAGTTTGGTTATCTAAAAAAGGAAATTCTGTTCTCTCCTATACTTAGAAGAAAAAGAAGTTCCGGTAAAAGTTTTCCTAAACAGCAGGACAACAGACATATGTAATTCATGTACTGGACTTCACACAGAAGAAAAGTGGTAATTATCTCCAATTAAAGAAAAATAATGTTCCATAGGAAGAGAGGATTACACTTATTATCCCAAGTTGCATTAACACATCAGAGTTAACACGTTGTTTAAATGTTGCCTTCAGTCAGCCCAGAATCAATACAAAATGATCTCATAGTTTATAGGTAGATCCATTACTAAAATAAGAGTTCAAGAAAGTGGTTAAAACGTAATGCCTATTGATACGCATGACCTAATTTAGGAACAGCTTGTCACATTTGACAGCCATTTATGAACTGTAAATCTCTATCGCTTGAACGACTTTGAAGTTTCTACACTTGTTGCATATCCTTAAGTCCTGTAAGTGGTGAACTACTGCTTGCCTTGAAGGGGTGTGTGTAAACTAACTGGTGGGGGGCTACTAGATACCCTGAAGGGGTTTGTGTAAAGTAACTGGTGGGGGGCTACTAGTGCCCTGAAGGGGGTGTGTGAACTACTGCTTGCCCTTAAGGCAGTTGCCAAGCTTGGCAACTTTAAGCTTGGTGGACTTCAACTCCCAGAATTGCCCAGCCAGCATGACTAGCTGAGGGATTCTGGGAGTTGAAGACCACAAATCTTAAAAGTTGCCAAGTTTGGAGAGCCCTACCTTAAGAGGTGCGTGTGAATTAACCAGTGAGGCGCTACGGCCTGCCCTAAAGGAGTGCGTGTGAACTGCTTCACCCCTACTTCGACAGCAGCCGAAAACGCACACGAGTTGCCTCTTCCTGCAACTGCAGCCGGATCCTTCCACGCGGAAGTGGTGTCTCCCAGCGCTCGCTCGCTCGCTCGCTGGCGGGCCGGCCGGGCGTGCAACGTGTCACCTCAACTCCGTCCGGGAGTTTTGAGTCCGACCTTCTTCCCCTGAAGGCAGAACCCGTGCTCTTCCCAAGGAGGGACGGTAGGAAACCCATAAGGAAGAGGAAGGCAGCTGGACTCCAACGGCGCTGCCCCGTTACGAAGGGAACACTCTTGCATTGCTCAGGCAGAGACAATCCCCCCCACCCCCAGTCCTACTGAGCCCCGATTTTTGGGGGGGAGGGGGACAGCAGTCGGAAAGGGGGTTCAGCTCCGACCCGGGGCAGCAGCCCTGCCTGTTTCTCTTTGGCCGGCAAACCAGCGAGCCCCGAGTGTGAAGGGGCGGGGGGCGGGAGCGTCCCCGGCAGACTTACCCCCCTTCACCCCAAAGGCCGGCTCCAGCTTGGCGACGGTGATGGCCAGGACGATCCCCAGCATGAACCAGTCCTTCCTCAGCCGCTCCAGGACGCCCATGGCAGCGGCGGCGGCGGCGGGGCTGGCCGAGAGGCTTGGGCGGCCGCGAGGAGCGAGGGAAAGGAGGGCGGGGAGGAGAGTCGGTCAGGACTTCCCTCGGGCCCTCCTCCCGCACGGAGCAGCTCCGCAACGGTGCCGCCGGCCGCGGCCAAACCAGTCAAACGCCGCTCCCGCCGCCGCTGGGGAAGTCTCCAGTGACAGGCGCTCTCTGAAAGCCGCCATCGCTACCACGCGACCGCTAATAGACTCGCGCGCGCTTCGCCTCGCTCCGGAGCAGGGGTCTCTAACCTTGGCTATTTTAAGCCTGGCGGACTTCAACTCCCAGAATTCCCCAGCCAGTAAAGCTGGTTTGGGGAATTCTGGGAGTTGAAGTCCCCTGGTCTGGAGGGCAAGAGGGCGGCAGCAAGCCCGCCTGGCAGGACCCCGGAGGCCTCAGCAGGTAGGACTTTCTGCCCCCGGGGGGAGAGCCTCCCGGGAGACGCGGGACGACCCCAAGCGGCGGCCAAACGCTAATCCGAAGGAGCGCCACCGCCGCCAGAACTGGGTCCTAAGAAGAGCGCCTAAGAAGGAGGCTAAACGAAGGAGCCCACCCCGTGCATTTCCTCAAGTTGGACGGAGGCGCTTGAGAGGGCAGCAATCCTGCCCCGCTGCCCGGCTTCCTCGGCGGGTGGCCATCGGAGGACGGGGAAGTCGGGAAAAGCCCTTCTTAGCCGAGCCAGCGGCCGGGAGGAAAAGGAATGTGGGAAAGGACTTGCGCGCCTCTTCGAAACTTTACGCCCGCTCTGTGACGACGCCACGGCGTTTAAAGCGTGAGAACGGGCCGGGGGGGGCGGACCGGGGGCGGGGTTAATGCTTTCAATTCCTGGCGTGAGACGCGTGTCGCGGGACTCGCACTTCGGGAGGGCGAAGAGGGGGCTAGGGGTTGTGTGAGCGCGCGCACCTAAGCGACCGATGATTAAAAAGCGGCCGGGAATTACTTCCCTTTTGAATCGTGGGGGTAATAGAGTCACAAGAGGGTGTACGACTTGTTGGGATTTGTTTTAATATTAGTTACCCACTGCTGAGAGATTTTCCTCCCTCCCTCCTTCCTTCCTTCCCTCCTTCCTGATGCGATCTTTCTTTCTTGTGTGCGTTTATCCAAGAAGATTTAGAGCTTCTTTGTAAGAATTTCATGCAGAGAGAGAGAGAGAGAGAGAGAGAGAGCGAGCTGCAGGAACAGGTAGGTTTGGGGAGGAAACCTCCGTCCCTGGTTCTGAAGTCTCAGCCTCTTGACTCCGCTGTTTCTGCAGCCGCACTTTTAGCCTTGATCCCTGCGGGTTGGACGACGCAATTCTGACTCAAAACCTCGAAGTAGAGATTATAGTTTATTGCGCCTGCATGCATGTGGTTGATTTGCTGTCTCACTCCTCATGGCAATTTACATGTGACAAAAAGAAATAAAATGTAAAGGCGGTAACAAAAATATCACAATATCAAATAATATAGAACGGTGTTACCCATTAAATTGGCCATCATAACGTCACGAGGCCAGAATTATTAATTGTTCAGTGGAGAAAGGACACGGATGCAGCATGGAAGCTCTTGCAAAGTATCTTCTGGTCTGGTCTGAGAGGGCCGTGATGCATTCTCGGGCATTAGGAAGAAGTTTCTCCTGGCTTCATTAGCTCCTCCTTTCCTGCTTCCCATCTTAGGTATAGGAGTGACAACTGCCAGAGTTCCCAGTCAGGATGTTGGGCAAGGCTGGGCTGCAGTTCTGGAAGTTCCAGTTTCAGCTTCTGAAGGACACCAGCTCATGGTTATATTTGCTGATCTCCCTTGTCAAAGATTTACTTTTATCACTCATCTGTTCTGTTTTACCATGGTTGCATAATCTGATAAAAGCAACACACCCTCAAAAGTGAAACACTATTTGATACATTTGATTTGTTAAATTGAACTGTCTGTTTAAACAGTGGTGCAGTCCAATATGCATTTACAGAAATTCAAGGATAATTTAATCCCTGTTAAGATTAAGATGATTATTCTGGTGTTTTGTAGGAAAGAAACTCTCCAGAGGTTGCTGAAGTACTGTTCTGTTTAACTGTAGCTAGCACAGGAGTTGCAACATCCTCATTACTGTGCCTAGCTAATTCCTGGTGGATACAAGACAAGTTTTATCTTAAGAGAGCAGATGCTACACTGTTTATATTTAAGAAATGCCTGTTTACTCTTTAAATGTTAAAGAAATGAAATTTTCTTAAGAAATGTTTCTATTTAAGAAATGCCTATGTTTACTCTTACATCAAAGATTGCCACAATCATCAGGTAAGAGCTACTGTGAGATGCTTTTCTTTCCCCAACACAGAAGTTTGCAATATAGCTAAAAGAACATATTCAAAAGCAGCATTAATAAATCAAATATAGTTTTTGCACATCTGTCCAGAAGCAAGTTCCACAGACTCCCACCATAAAATAAGTGGTGTACAGGACAGCATGAATGAGAAATTATCAGGACTATTGAAAGAGACTAAGCAGAATCTCTGTAATATTTAATTTGGAAAGGGATCTGTTTCTTATTGCTGAAGTTGCACATTTTAGCATTGGTTTATCTGCTCCTGTATTCCTATTTATTTTCTTAATTCTAAAATTCAGGATGTTTCCTGTTATTTACGTGAATGACGTCCAAGACGCTATCTATGCTTAGCATATGAATGAGTCTTTCAAAATAGACCACTGAACCACAAATTAAGCAGCCATATTTCTGTCTAAGATGGTAGGATAACCGATGAAGTTATTTTATCTTTCTGTGTATCATGCAAACAAAGAAATTAAATTGCTTTAATAAATCACAGAAAAGCATCCTGTATGGTTAGAACCATTAGCTTCTGTTCTTGCCTTTCCAGTTGATGTGTGAGGACCATTCCTTCTCCTTAAGGACTTAGGCATCACCTACTGGTTCTGAGCATTGCATTGCTAACTCCTCCCCAATAAAGTACGTAACCAGACAGTGAGAAAAATCTATTCCATCCTTTTGAATTGTTTTCATTGGTCCCAATAGCCCTTTCCCATCCCTCATCTTGCAGGATAATTTTTTCAACTGCTGCTCTGCCTTTTTATACTCCATATATGAACTAACTTTTCCACAAAACTGTTTGAAGCCTGCAAATAAAGCAAGCCACTCAAATGTTCAGTAAGGTGGTACTTAGTCACAAAGTACAAAAATGAGGAAGTAATAAAGGGGGAGGATGAAGAAGTTATGAGGGGTCCTTGGTGCTCTCAGCTTGCAGATGTTTCATTACCCAAACTAGGTAACATCATCAGTGGTAGTTTCCTATCCACTAGCACTGATGATGTTACCTATTTTGGGTAATGAAATGCCTGCAAGAAAAAAAGGAAGCTCAGAGAGCACCAAGGGCCCCTCATATCAATCCTGAGTTGCAAATAGTCTCCTTTATGAATAAGTTAAGTTTCCACGTTTTTTTCCCACTGGATGGAAAAGGCAGGTGTTTGAACAGATCTCCTCTCTTAAGCTTATAGTATTAAAATCAACCTTTTGGAGCTACAGGATAATTTCCAAGGCCTTGTTTGTTTCTTGTTTATCTCTTGCATTCATATGGCTGCCATCTCACAAAAAGCAGTCCTGGACAACGTACAACTTGTAACATTTTCATGTTAGTAAGACAAGAATTTGGAAGGCCGTCACTTGGGATAACTGCTGGGGACTTTTGCATTGACAAACTAGCCAGCATGTAGGTCACTGGATGCCAAGTACAAGTACACCAGAAGGTTACTCTTCCTGCATCCACAAATGCAAATGTTCAGTATTATCTCTTCCTAAATTTGTCTTTGTCTTGGCAGAAGTCACGTTTTCAAGCAAAGATCGGAGTTGCAGAGGCATATCGTGTTTATTTCCTAAGAAAAACATGTGAATATACAGTTGTGTACAAATGGATGTGAAAAGTAAGGCAAGAAGCCTGCAATTGCAAGAATGGTATCCATAGATATAAGGAGACGCCTGAGGTTCATGTTGAGGATCGCAAGAGTTGCTGGTCCAGGGTTGTTCATTTGGTTCATCCTTTATGACAAAACAAACAAATCCATCTTGTTTAGAAATGGATGGGTGACTGGCAAACCCCTTGGTGCTTTTTGCTATTCTTCAATACTGTTTTAATAATAATAATACTGACATTTCTGTACAGTCAATTTGGAAAAGAGCATTAGCATTACTGGCTAATTCAGTCATTTCATCAAATATAAGCTGTTGTAGAGAGCCGAGCCCCATGATTCTGTAACATCTGCCTTTCCTTTGGGAAAGGGCACACCTATTATAAAATAAAGACAACTTAATCTCTTATGATTTATTCTATTTCATTATGTATGAGTTCCTGCCGAATGAGATTTCTCCGAGTCTTGGGAAAATATATAGGATCTTCTGTACTACACCTAGAAGTCAGTGGACTTATTTCAATGTTAAATAAATCTCTTCCAATCATAAAATACCATGTCCTTGGCTATGTATGCCGTGCTTCTTCTACCTCCCTCTTCCTTCAAACTCATTTCTGTGTGGATTAACTTATTCCTATTTCCAACCATAATTTATCAGGTGTTGTATGCATTTTCTCATATTGAGTATGGCAATCTTCACCTTTTCAGCCTTCCTACGCACACTGATGTTTTACAGTCCCACTGTGGTTTAAATGGTAAATTTCTTGGGAGAAGAAAGTTTTCTCTTTACCTGTGGTGCTCCATAAACACAATATGCACTGATAGCAATGTATGAAATACTAATACAATTATGATCTTGGCACTATAGTTGGGCCTTTTGATTAAAAGATATCCATAATATGGAATTATGTTACTAAAGTATTGTTACACATTACGATTTTGATCTTTGTGTTCCACTACACTTAGTCACATGCAAGTTTCATCTTGACTTGTGGCTTAGTGCAGGAAACCCCGCCAATTAGAACATAGCTGGTAAACCCAGGTTAGATAGGCTGTGATTCAACATGCATTTTGTTTCATCACATTGTTTATTTCAACAGTTTAATATTCAAGCCAAACACCATTTACGGTTAGGGTTAGATAATGTGTGCCCATAATTTATATTTCAGTTTGTTTATACCTGTTAATCTTTTACATGTTTCCCTCTCTGATAGCCCAGAGCAGGGGTGTGAAATTCACATCGTCACGGCGATGTCTTGTGATGTATTGGGACTTTTCCCCCCTTTGCTAAACCGGGCCTAGGCACAGCCAGCACGTGATGCATCCCACCCATGGGCCAGGAATTTGACAGCTCTGGTCTAGAGCTATTTGATACGTTGTTTCTTAGCTAATGTGGTT